CAGCATCTCCTGGGAACTTGGTAGAAAAGCGAGTTCTCAGACCCTGCCCCAGACCTACTGAATCAGAGATCCTGGAGGTAAGCCCTGCAGTCTGTGTTTCATCAAGTCCTTCCTGTGATTCTGATGCAGGATAAAGTGTGAGAACCACTGTTCTATGCCATACCTGCCATCTACACCTTGCTTCAAGTTCTTTTGGATATATACCCAAAAGTGAGATGCTGTATCACACAGTAGTTCTATTTTTAACTTTTCTGAGGAGCTGCCATGCTGTTTTTCATAATGACTGTACCATTTTACATTCCCAGAAATGTAAACAGAAGTTCCAGTTTCTCTATATCCTTACCAACACGCGCTATTTTCTGTTCTTCTGATAGTGGTCAGCTTAGTGGGTGCAAGATGATATCTCTACAACCTTAGCATTTAAATTTTTAATTTAATTCTGTCATTAAATGTTGGACTCTGCTACTAGACAGCCCTGGAGTTTCTTCAAATATCTGTGTATAATAACTATACTTGTCAAATTTAAGGATAAATGGGAACAAATGGGAAGGAGGGGAGAGAGGATGGATTAATAAGGATTAATATAGAATAAATGTAGTATAGTGTGGTTAAAGGCATTTGGTCTTTATTTATTTATTTATTTATTTTTGGTCTTTAAAACTAGTTCATTTGAGGTTTCTGCTAAGTTTCCTCATTATCCTTCTAAAGATGACTCTAAAGAAATACAGATATGGTGAAAGTGTTAGTAGTTCAGTTGTGTCTGACTCTTTGCGACCCCATGGACTGGAGCCTGCCAGGCCCCTCTGTCCACGGAATTCTCCAGGCAAAAATACTGCAGTGGGTAGCCATCCCCTTCTCCAGGGGATTTTCCCAACCCTGGGATCCAACCCAGGTCTCCTGTGTCTCCTGCACTGCAGGTGGATTCTTTACTGTCTGGTAGGAAACACAATTACTGATACTTACACTGTAAGTTTGTCACAATAAAAATTTAACCTAAGATCCCTTTAGTTCACCAGGAACATAGTACAAATTCCTGGTGCATGTCCAATAATCTTGAAGAGATTTTCCTCTTCAAGATGAGAATTTGATTCAGGTTCTAGTCCTAAAAAAAATGATTTCAAAAGAACTGCCAAATTAACCATGTGCCAAGCAAGTAGGAAGTAAACAATTACTCACTGAAGGGAAAAGCCAGAGAATCAAAAAGCTTCATGTGACTTGTATAAACTTGTCTAGTTATTTAAATAAAGGGGCATGCTATCTGGAAAAGTAAAATTTTAGGGCAAATAAACACAAATTGTCTATATTATACAGCTGGTGGTAAGGTAAACTTTTTTTCATACAACTGAATATATACAGTTTACAAAACAAGTTTCATTGAATGAAGGAAACATTTTCATGGGTCAAGATCTTACTAAGTATTCATTATTATTCATAAGCTAGACTTTAAGTATCATATATTTAAAAAACAATTTCATATACTATCAATAGCAAGCATTTGCTGAGAACAAGTTAAAAATGGCATATCCTTAACTCAGGAAACGATGAAATGCCTTTACCATCTTCTTTCTCAAGATGTCAGAATATAGTTGGCAACTTTGTAGGAATGGAACAATGCTCATCGCATCCCAAACACTTGATTCTGAACATCTAGCCTAATAATAGGGAGGCTTCAATCACTTTCCCAAACTCAGGATCTAATAGTTGTACCTAAATACATGGGAGGTTTACTGTCTGGGTATTCTGATATCGCAGGGCAAACTGGGAGAGCCCTCAGCAAGTCAGAAAAGCACTCGTGCACCTATTAAGCGGTTTTTCAATTGTAGATTTTAAATACCTTGCAGAAAGAATTCATAAACACTTGCGCAAAATTTTTTCTTAACTAGAGAAAGCTTACTTATAATTCAGCAGCAGTTTTTAAAACTAAGACACTTGTGACTCTACTGAAGTGATTCTTAGGTCACCAGACCCACCTGAGAGACTGATAACCCAGTTTGAAGGACACCCAACCCCCAAAGTGCTCAGACACATCAAACTTAGTACATCATTTCATTGGTTTGTAGATATCCTGAAGCTCAGTTAAGATTCAGAAATCTCAAGGGTTAAATAATTTACACACACATCATACCTATCTCCAATATTCCAGTTAACTTCTATCTTTAAAAATCTTATTAGTAAAGGAATCACAGAGTATACAGAATGAATGTACATTATTTAAACATAGCTATATATATGCTATCTAGTTTAATAAAACACTACCAGTATAAATACATTCATGATATAAAACTACCAACACTGCATATACTGTGTTAAATAAAGTCCTTTGCAACAAATAAAGTCCTCTTTGCAAGTAATGGGAAATTTCTTAGGGTTAATGCCTTAAGCATTACCTCCACCTCATAGTTACAGTTTCTATTCACTGACTGCTTTGCATGTACCTTCCCAAATTCTTAAGCAGCTCACGGAATATAAAAGGTAGATAAAACTGGATCCTCTACTAATTCTCATTAGTCTTATTTCAGATATATAATCAGTGGCTCAAATCAAGAGGTCTTCCTCACATTAGAAAATCTGTGTAAAAGGCAGGCTTGGTTTTCTGGATCAGTGGTTCTGCATCTGCAGATTCAACCAACTGGAGTACTTACTATTGAGAAGAATATTCACATGGGTGAATACAGTTCAAATCAGAGTTGTTCAAGGGTCAACTACATGCCAAAATTTTAAACGCACATACTCTGATTTAACAGTTTTACTACTCGGAAACTATTAGGTTAGTTTTTGCACTCACAAGCACTGATGTATGAGAAATGAAATCCATAGCCAATTCTGGATTCTCCAAAGTTCCCTATCTACTTTATCACAGCTTGGGAATTCCTTGGTGCTCCAGTGGTTTGGACGCTGCGCCTTCACTGCCAAGGGCCTTGGTTCAATCCCTAGCTAGGGAAGGAAGATCTCACAAGCCACATGGTATGGCCGAAAATAAATAAAAATTATCACAGCTTTCTACACATAATACACATATTTATTCCAAAATTTTCTTTTCAGAGCCTTGACAATGAAATTAGATCTTCAAATATCAATGGCACTCACTGCTGTCCTCAGACTGGATATTCCTATCATAAACATTTCCTTCTTCATTGTTTCATCAAATCAACTGTGAAACTCTTTTAGCTTTGCTTCCACTATAACCCGATCATCCCCACCTGTATATCCCCAAGGCCTTATACAATTTTTAGTTCTTTCCCTCAGATTATTAAAATGCCCCAGTTAGATTCCTACACAGTTTTTCATCTCATTTATCCACTTTCATCAAACTTGGAGGTAACAAATCACATCACATCACTCTCCTGAAAATATGTCCCAGAAGAAAGTTTTAGGTTCTAGTATTCACTGTCTTGTTCATTCTGACCTGTTGTCTCCCTTTAAACACAGCCTTCCATGGAGCAGATGCTCGAGTCTAACCAGTCTGACCAAACACTCCCCATCAGAGGGCACAATCTCCTGCTCTCAGCACAGCAACCCTGAGTGGAATCCCCATTCCTACCTATTTTCAATTTTCTAAATTCTCAGTTCAGTTCAGTTGCTCAGTCATGTCTGACTCTTTGCGACCCCACAGACTGCAGCATGCCAGGCCTCCCTGTCCATCACCAACTCCCAGAGTTTACTCAAATTCATGTCCATTGAGTCTGTGATGCTATCCAGCCATCTCATCCTCTGTCATCCCCTTCTCCTCCTGCCTTCAATTTTTCCCAGCATCAGGGTCTTTTCAAATGAGTCAGTTCTTCTCATCAGGTGGCCAAAGTATTGGAGTTTCAGCATCAGTCCCTCCAATGAATATTCGGGACTGATTTCCTTTAGGACGGACTTCTAAATTCTAGTCACACTTCATATGCCAACAGAAATGCTATCTTCTCTGCTGTACCATTCGAAACAGGAAATTGCTCCTCTTCTAAACTCTATCCCTCTATACAGCATTTATTCGTATTTACCTTATTGTTCTACATACAAGGATCAGGATCCATCTTCTAGTTATTTTTGTATCTTCCTCACAAGCCCAGTGTTTTATACATAGCAGGCATTTAATAAGTATTTTAAACCTTGAATTAATAAAGGCTCACATTTTTTTCATGTTTTTTCTTAGATCTATACATTTTTATAAAATTACTTTAAATTCTTAAATATGAACTTATTGAAATACACGGCCATTTTATTTTTTAGTTGAAGCATACTATAATACCAGGGGGCTTCCCTGGTAGCTCAAAGCCCTTTACCAGGGCTTCCCTGGTAAAGAATCCGCCTGCAATGCAGGAGACCCCGGTTCAATTCCTGGGTCAGGAAGATCCCTGGAGAAGGGAGAGGCTGCCCACTCCAGGATTCTTGGACTTCTCTTGTGGCTCAGCTGGTAAAGAATCTGCCTGCAGTGCGGGAGACCTGGATTCGATCGCTCAATTGGGAAGATCCCCTGGAGAAGAAGGCTACCCATTCCAGTATCCTGGTCTAGAGAATTCCATGGATTGTATAGTCCATAGGGTCACAAAGAGTCAGATACAACTGAACGACTTTCACTTTCACTTATAATCCTACACCATATTATGTAAGTTACAGGTGTGTAATACAGTGATTCAGTTTTTCAAGGTTATGCTCCATCTATAATTACTATAAAATATTTGGCTATATTCCCCATGTTGTACGGTATACCCTTATAGCTTGTTCTATACCTAATACTTTGTACCTCTTACTCCTCTCCCCTTTTCTTATCCCGCCCCACTTCCCTCTCCCCACTGGTAACCACTACTTTATTCTCTGCTTGTGTGAGTCTATTTCTTTTTTGTTTTATTCACTAGTTTGTTGTATTTTTTAGATTCCATATATAAGTGACTTCATGATTATTTAAAATTCAATGAGTTTTCAGAGGGTTGATGTAGGGTGCTCCAGGGTCTATTTTTCCTACACCCACCAAAACAAAATCAAGCCAAAAAGAAAAAAAAAACACTTAATGTTACCTTTTCAACATCGGAGAGAGAAGTGAGTGATTGACTCTGAAGAACCTCTGGTGCAGTGAATGCACGAAGATCCTGATTGGAAATATTTTCATCTGTAAATGACACGCTGCCAGATGGCAGCAGCAGCAGAGACCACGGAGAGATGATGAAGCCAAGAGCAGCAGGGTCAGCTATGCTTACTGCTTTGTAACCGCACAGAATGAAAAGAAAAAAAAAAAAAGATAGATGTTTAAAATTAAGCAATTATAGGTCACTTAAATGAATATTCCAGCATAGTCATAGATACGTGCAGTTACATACACTAAATCAACATGCTATAAAAAGAGACAAGGTTTCATGCATCTACTACTGTTAGCATTATCAACAACCATGGATCTGGATTTGACTTCGCCTTTCAAACTTAGACTAGAGGGCAGATTTTAGAAACTAGAGAACATTCATTGTTAGTCTAAGATTGAACTTGGTTCAAATACTCCGTCACAGTGATACAGAGATATGAATAAGAATCAATAGTCCTTACATGTTGGTGGTAGGGGAAGGGATCATGGATTCCTTTGAGGATTTGGTGAAAACTATGATCAAGAAACCCTTTTAAGGAAACTGCCCATAAATATAAAACCCTGTAAACAAAAGGTGTTCATGGCTCTCCTTAGAGCCCATTTATGAACCCCAGGTTGAGCCTCTGATTTACAGTATAGAGCCCTGAAACTGACAGAAAATAATTCCCTTGATAATTCATCAGATTTACAAATAGTAAAGTTTCCAGCTAAAATGAAAATCTCTTTTTTGCATCAATATGTATATTTGTCTAGTTTCCATTTGTTCATCACTTCAGGAGAATTTCAGGTAGCTTTTATGCTACCAAATGGGATCAATGGGGTTGCTAATTTTGTTTTGTTTAGATGTTTGTTTATATTGGCACCTAAGAGTTCAGTGTAAGAGTATTTTTTTAAAAATCCTTAGATTTTAGCAGGCCTCCTCTAAAAGTAAAACTATATACATTAGGCTCAATAAAACAGACTTATTACAGGGAATTTTATTTTTGACCTCTCATTTCATTTTTTTCCCCATTTATTTTTATTAGTTGGAGGCTAATTACTTTACAACATTGCAGTGGTTTTTGTCATACATTGAAATGAATTAGCCATGGATTTACATGTATTCCCCATCCCGGTCCCCCCTCCCACCTCCCTCTCCACCCGATCCCTCTGGGTCTTCCCAGTGCACCAGGCCCGAGCACTTGTCTCATGCACCCAACCTGGGCTGGTGATCTGTTTCACCCTAGATAATATACATGTTTCAATGCTGTTCTCTTGAAACATCCCACCCTCGCCTTCTCCCAGAGTCCACAAGTCTGTTCTATACATCTGAGTCTCTTTTTCTGTTTTGCATATAGGGTTATCGTTACCATCTTTCTAAATTCCATATATATGTGTTAGTATACTGTAATGGTCTTTATCTTTCTGGCTTACTTCGCTCTGTATAATGGGCTCCAGTTTCATCCATCTCATTAGAACTGATTCAAATGAATTCTTTTTAATGGCTGAGTAATATTCCATGGTGTATATGTACCACAGCTTCCTCATCCATTCGTCTGCTGATGGGCATCTAGGTTGCTTCCATGTCCTGGCTATTATAAACAGTGCTGCGATGAACATTGGGGTGCACGTGTCTCTTTCAGATCTGGTTTCCTTGGTGTGTATGCCCAGAAGTGGGATTGCTGGGTCATATGGCAGTTCTATTTCCAGCTTTTTAAGAAATCTCCACACTGTTTTCCATAGTGGCTGTACTAATTTGCATTCCCACCAACAGTGTAAGAGGGTTCCCTTTTCTCCACACCCTCTCCAGCATTTATTGCTTGTAGACTTTTGGATAGCAGCCATCCTGACTGGCGTGTAATGGTACCTCATTGTGGTTTTGATTTGCATTTCTCTGATAATGAGTGATGTTGAGCATCTTTTCATGTGTTTGTTAGCCATCTGTATGTCTTCCTTGGAGAAATGTCTGTTTAGTTCTTTGGCCCATTTTTTGATTGGGTCATTTATTTTTCTGGAGTTGAGCTGGAGGAGTTGCTTGTATATTTTTGAGATTAATCCTTTGTCTGTTGCTTCGTTTGCTATTATTTTCTCCCAATCTGAGGGCTGTCTTTTCACCTTGCTTATAGTTTCCTTTGTTGTGCAAAAGCTTTTAAGTTTCATTAGGTCCCATTTGTTTATTTTTGCTTTTGTTTCTAAAATTCTGGGATGTGGGTCATAGAGGATCCTGCTGTGATTTATGTCGGAGAGTGTTTTGCCTATGTTCTCCTCTAGGAGTTTTATAGTTTCTGTTGACCTCTCAAAAGGAAATTAGTACAGGTTTTAAGGTAACTGCTAAATGAAACTGAGTTACAGACTCAAGAAATCTCTATAGGAAAGTCACAGAAGGTCTCTGACAGTGACGTTATTATTCGATCTGAATGGGTTATACTGCTATCTAACTCAAATCATAAGAAACTGACAGAAACCTATGGAATAGTTTATCAAATATACAATAAATATACTTTCCTAAAAACTTCTATTAGAAGAGAATCATTGATCTTTTCTGACTTTTAAACCTCTACCTGTGGTCAAGATTCTAATCATCAGAATTTGACTTATGTTGATAAAAAAGTAAACTATTAAAATTCATTTCTCTTTGAAGGTTAAAAAGGCAACTACACATTCTCCTGCATTCTTATGAATTTGAAACATGTCTTTTATAATTGCGTCAAGGAAAAGAAGTGTTTCAATGCATCTTTATTCAGTCAATGTACCTTGTATTGCCCTGAAGCCCAGTTACAGATCAGTGGCCCTCATATTCCAACTCAATCACACATCAGGTTGCTAAGAACAAGACTCACAATTCTCATAGCAAAATAAGTTTCAATGAATCATCATGGCTGTTAGGCCCAGGTATACTGTTGCTTTTCAGCCACTTTACACATTTTCTTTTTAAAGCTTCTTCTTGGGTATCTCATGCACAAATATCACAAAATCCAGCCAGAGAAGAACTCAAACCAGGCAGAACAATATTTTCTTTGCCAAACGTTGCTATTCATGATACTGAGATTTCATGTGTGTCACAGACATAATAAAGTAGCCTATGATCAATTCTTTTCAAATTAGCAACTAAAGGCCATTCCTTCTCCAGGGGATCTTCCCGACCCAGGGATCGAACCTGGGTCTCCCACACTGCAAGTGGGTTCTTTACCAGGGAAGCCACCAGGAAAGCCCTAAAGGAACAAACAGGAGAACAATTCCGAAGGCGGTGTACTGATACCTGGTGTAATATGATGCTGGCCTGGAACCACAGTGGTAGTGAGAACCTGTTAGGACGCGAGTGTATTTCAGAGACACTTACAACAAGAATTTCTTGACAGACTGGATGTGCAGTGAGAGAAAGAGGAGAATCAGAATGACTCCAGGACTTTGGTCTCAGTAACAGGAAGGATGGTGTGTCATCCACTGAGATTGAGGAGACTATAGGAATAGCACAGTTTCTGGGGCAGGGGCTGGGAGACAGTGGTAGGAATTCAACTTTACTTTGGGACCTATTAAGTTGAAGATATCCATTACATATTCAAATGGAGGTGTCAAGTAGGCAGTTGGGTCTCAAGTTTAGGAGAAAGACCTGAACTGGAGGTACATTTTGGGAGTCACTGCCCTAAGAGATGGTACTGAAAACCCTGTAACTGGATGAGATGAACAAAAAGTGAGTTAAGATTGAAAAGAAATCAAGAACAAAGACTGCGCCCTGGGCTACTCCAACATTGAGAGCAACTGCTCCTTCTGTCTTTCCTTCCAGCTTGCTCTTCTTTTCTGGGGCATCCACTCAAGTATGGTGTCACACTTTCTCTCTTACAATTCTTTCATGTATCACTGTCAAGCTCCACTTCACCACTTTAATATTTTATTTAACAGTCTTTCTATCAACTGGCCCAGCATCCAATCCTGAACCTAAGAGAGGAAACTGAAATTCCAACTCTCTTGTGGAGTTCCTGTAAGCCTTATCTGGGGACAGAATTATGATTCCTGGTATACTTATTGCCATTTGAATTTATAAACTATTAGGGATCAGGGCTAATAGAGAAGGAGGAGTGCCATCCAGAAGTCTAAATGCTCTGTCCTGTCCCGCCATTCTTGGTGTCGGTATCCACTTAGACCTCTGGTGGCTCAGTGGTAAAAGAATCTACCTACAATGTAGGAGCCTGCCTGCAATGCAAGAGACATGGGTTTAATCCCTGGGTCAGGAGGATCCCCTGGAGGAGGGCACGGCAACCCACTCCAGTATTCTTGCCTGGGAAATTGCATGTAGAGAAAAGACTAGCGGGTTACAGTCCGTAGGACTGAAAGTTTGACATGACTTAGAGACTAAACCTCCACCACACTCTTCCTCCCTGCCCCAGGCAACAGACTGACCCTACCCTCTTCTCTACAGGGTGGTACACCACAGAAACTGCTGCAGGTAGACGTTATCTACAATTGCTTATAGCTTTGAAATTAAGAGGTTTCTTTATTCACTTATCAGCACAATGAAGGTCAAAAAAACCACACTGACAAGAAATGCGCCTTTCAATTTTTGCTTTAAACAATAGATTTTTGTTAGTTTTTACAGAACATCTAAAGTATACCATCATTTTAAGTAGTATATATATCTAAACAGCTCAGAGGGTAAAGCGTCTGCCTGCAGTGCAGGAGAACTGGGTTCAATCCCTGGGTCGGGAAGAAGGAAATGGCAACCCACTCCAGTATTCTTGTCTGGAGAATCCCATGGATGGAGGAGCCTGGTAAGCTACAGTCCACGGGATTGCAAAGAGTCGGACATGACTGAGCACTTCACTTTCACTTTTTATATCTAAACATAATATTCTCAAAATTTCAAGTCATTTGCTCATAGTTGCTGTTGTTTAGTCAGCAAGTTGTGTCCGACTTTGTGATCCCATAGACTGCAGCACACCAGGCTCCTCTGTCCTCCACTTCGCACCAATTCATGTCCATTGCTGACAGAGTCCACAGTATTATTGGAAAGATAAAATGTATTAAAAAAATAAAAATAAGATTGAAAGTATAAGGTATCTAAAAGGGAAAAAAGAATATAAAAGAGGATTTAGAGGAAATTACTTCAGTAACAATGAAGAGAGAATTAATTTTTTTATATGTGC